CTTTTCCAGTAATATACTACTTTATCTTAGAACAAATCATCAAATTCACAATTGGCGTAATATTTTGTTATTTTTTGACATTTTTGTCATTATTCATAATTTTAAATTGCTTTACTTTTATAATTTTTTAGGCTTACGCCTAGCCTCGCTTAGCCAAAACGCCTCGATTCCTGATTTTGCCTTTTAAAACGTTGCAGACTAGTAAAATTATTTCAGAACAAGACACTACAATTCTTCAATCACTCAAATCAACTAGAAAATTCTTGTTGGGGATGGCACGAAGCTAGTTGCAAATCTATAGCACACAAGGAGCTAGTGCATATTTTGTTAAAGAATGTCACATGCCAGACTTGAATAGGTGCCTTATACCTAGGAACTATAAAACATACCACTTTGCTAAGTGTCTAAAAAATCAATCACTTCTCCAAAAAATGTTAAGTCAAGAAAATGCTGCTTGAACAGATACATTGATTTGAGTGAAAAATCACACCCGAAGTGGCTTTATCATGACTTCTAAAAGATAAAAGCATGGTGTGAGGTTCTCATTGATCAAACCTTAGTAATTGAAATGCACCAAACGATATAATTCCAAAGCAACAATTAGTAGTGTAGCATCCTAAGAGAGGGCTCAAGCTGCATGCCTTTATATGGAAGAATCACTCAGGAATATATATGGCATTAGCCATAACGAGCGTACAAATATTGAACTATAATAACACCACATGGCATTTCATTATAAGCCTATCTCAACAAATCCATAATGCAAGTTTATCATGGTACAAATCGAGATTTTTAAAAGCGCACTTTGCCTATGAACACCAAGATAGGGCTAATTTTCTTATTTCTCCTTCAATAATAAAGCAAGACACAATTGATCTACTATTAGAGAGGTAGATCAGCTATCCCACAAAACCTAGACACCGCTAGGAACTCACAAACACTAGAAAAATAAACTCAGCAATATCATAGTACCTAAACTTAATCAAAACTCCCCCTTAAATAGCCTTAACCACAATAACACAAATAGAACCTTCCTAAACCATTAAAAATGATTTAAAACCCTTCCTAAATAATTAAACATATTTTAGGAAACCTTCCTAAATAGCATAAACACAATTAGGAATCTTTCCTAAATAGCTCCCTCATGATTAGGAACCTTCCTAAATAATTTTTCCTTGATTTGAAACATTCCTAAATAATTTCTCCTTAATTAGGACTTTCCTAAATAGCTCCCCTTAATTATTCCTTACATAATGAATAATAGCTCCCCTAGGCCCCACAAGGTGGGCCACCCCTTGCGTATCAATATATTTTTTATAGGGTTTTATGAGAATATTTTTAGTGCATTTTTAATAATATAACTTTTGAATGTTTGAAGCCCATTGGTTAAGATGATGGGGTTTGCATATGATGATAAGACGTCAACTATGGGTCATATGCATGATGCAATGGACAAAGTAACTAATGCAATTAGTGATGTGCATTCGAAGGAGATCAAAAGAAGCATGAGAAATTTTTTCGTTTCACAGACGAGAGATGGGAGGTGTTAATTGCTATAGCCATTACATCAAACTGACTACTATTTGAACTGGGAGTTTTTTAACAAAAATAAGTCTATAAAATAATCAAATGAACAATTGATGGAAAGCTTATATGCAATTATTGGCATGGTAGCGAGAGACCAAAATGAGAGAATGACCATAAATAAAGAACTCTTTATTTACAACTAAGTTGGTGGTCTATTTGAAATTTAGTTTGCTATCCGCAATAGAGATAAGAAACTTTCAAGTATATATAATTGAAACTTCCATATAATTTTAAGTTTTTTATTGATTAAATTTTTTTAATGTGGTATTGTAATTTTAATGCATTAGAGTGGTGGAAGATTGATTTTAATGCAGTAGAGTGGTGGAAAATTTTAATGCAGTATTATAATTTTAAGTTTTTTATTAATTTTAATGCAGTAGAGTGGTGGAAAATTTTATAATTGACTTGCAGTGCTACTAGGAGTGAGAGACACTATAGTGTCTTTAAGCATGTGAAAATTTATAAAATTTGAATATATTAAATAATTCGCATGTCATTATAACAATTTTCCACAAATTCGCACATAAGAGAAACTGAGTGAATCAAAAACATTTAGATGATATAGTGTTCATCTAGTACAATACAACTTTTAAAAAAATAAAGATTAAATTTGAGAGATGTTATTGATCCAATTAATTAGGATTGTATTGATTGAAGTTGTGAGTAACTAGTTGGGGAAATTGAGGTGTTAATGAGCAACAATTTGGTGATGAAGAGCTACCTTGGTGACAAATTGAAGAGGCATGAAAATAAATTAATCGAAGGTGCTCTGTAAGATTTAATAGATCAAAAACAAGATGAAGTTCATCCATAAAGAGGGAAAGTTCATCTTGACCAGCATCCACTTCTATTGTTATTATTATTCAAGAAAGAGAACATAACGTTGACTCACAATAAGAGAAAGAAGAAGATTTTGAAGATGAAACAAAAATCTACTTGAAGGAGATATAGATTATGTGAATAAGACAGATATGTTAACTAACGAATTCTCTTTAGCTTACTTTATAAAACCTCAAACTTTATGCACTCAAATTTAGCTTTCTCTATAAATTAAATATGTTTTATGCAATCTTGAAGTTTATAATTTTTATATCAAACTAATACACTAATTTTAAACTTTTAATCAATTGTTAACTCGTATGCATAATAAAATTTGCCAAAAATTTCAATTTGCATCTTCAATTTAAAAGTTTGTTTTCAAATTAGGTATGTAAATCACAATTCTTTTTGGATTTTATCACAAGTTTAAAGTCATTAATTAAATACTTCATGCTTTACATGGGCTATTGAAGGAATCATTATAATTGTTGGGAATTATATTTAATGTGATTTATATACATGATGTATAAGTTATGACTTATGAGCCCCCCTGGTTAGTAAAAATGTTGCACCTCTCTTTGCGCTTTGCACATTGAAGCAAAAAGAAATTCATGTGCATCGCATTGCACTTAGCACTTCAAAACACAATTACAAATCCAATCATATTGTTGTTCATCTTTAATAGTGGACATAATGATAATATTTGCTATTTCAAATGTTTATGAGTGCAATTTAGACTCTAGCTATTAAACATTAAGCCGTCATGTATACTGAGTAAATCAACAGTATAATTATGCTTTTGCTTGCATCATATCGCAAAAGAAAGCTAGAGCCTAGTCTAGCCATTTGAACCAAAAAAAGCAAGGCAAGACCAAATAATAGTAAAGAACAAATCATGAAAAGAGCCTGTTTAGAAATGGTGATAATTGACATGACTTTTTTAGTTTAAATAAGTGATGAAGGTGTTGTATTATTAGACTTCATCAAAATAATCAGTTTTTAATATGAAAAATCAAATACTTCAAAGGTTTCATAAACTTTTTGTCATAAGTTGTTGGACAATAGGTAATGAATTAGTGAAAGAACGTTATTACTAACTATAATAACTAGTGAACAAATTGGCTAGTAAAAAACCTGATCACAAAAGGATTCAAATCTAGGGGTTAAACAGGTGAAATTAATAACCAGTATTTTGGGATTATAAAAATAATAATGTGGTACTCAACAGAAAGACTAAGCATAATTCTCATAATACGAAAGGGCATGTTTTATATCTGTAATTGATTTAACTTAAGAAAAAGAAAACCTCAATACCACAACAAATCAATAACACATGTCAATTAGAAAGATAAATTCATCATCTCTTCTGCAACTTGCTAACATAGAAAACCTTAAGACTAAGATTTAACATCTACTGACACTCAGAATCACCCAACTCAATCTATAATCACTTCAAAATTAAGCCAAGTTACAGTTCAGCATCCATACCTGTGCTGCGCCGGTTCATCACAATAAATTGAAATCTAGGCTGGGTATTTCTGCAACGATACAACAAAAATTAATTACTTCCAATAAGAGAAACCTCAATGCATCAAATTAGAAATCAAAAACTCCTTCTCGTTAGATAAAACTCCCAAAACATAAGAAACACACAGAAACAAAGGGTAAAAGAAAACAACAACAATAATCAATTAGTTTTAGCTTCGAAGAATACGATAAGCCCAAAAGAATTATTCAAGGAAAATAATAAACAATCAACAGATCTAGCTACCTCTTTACAACAAATAGAGAGCCTTCCACGTCCTTCCGACTCTGCAACAAAATATTTCAATCAGAGTATCGAAATGAAATCCCTCGCTCCAAAGGGAAGACAAGGGAACGAAATAGTTCATATTGCGTACCCATCGATTCTGCTCTATGCTGAATTCGTAGAAAGTAACGTGTGCGGCAGTCATTAAGATCTCCTCTACATAGGGATCGATCCTCTGAAGCACAGTCAGATTAAGCACCTTGGTGCTCTGCTGATCCAAATTCGGCATCAGCTTCGACATCTCCGCGGCAAATCGCTCGCACTAAAAGCCCTAACTCCGCTCAATTAACTAATTTCCCGGTTTGCCTTCTAGCGCGCCTGAGGGTTCGGGGTTCGCGGACTCGGCGGACGGACGACGGGAGAAGCGAAGTGGTATGCGAGAATTTTATTCCCGAGAGGATGGCCCTGATCCACCGCGCAACGTTACACTATTTATTATTGCTTCGTTTGGAACGGTTTTCTCTTCTTAAATCAGCTTTTTAATTAAAAATTTTAAATTTTGTAATTAGAAAACTGTCCTAAAAAAAAGGAAAAAAAATAAGAAAACCGTTTCAAATAAAATCTTAGACTTCTTAGGCTTCTTTTAAGACAACTTTATTTCTACTTCGGAAAGCAAAGATTTCTTTTGGAATGACTTTCTTACTGCTTCTTAAAATAGAACACCGTTTTAAGAAATAGTAATAAAATCGTCCCAAATGAAGTCTTAGTTTATGACGACTAATTTGATTAACAAGGCCTTCTATGAAATAATATTTAAAATTTTGATTAACACTGTTTTGCTCTGAAAATAATATAAAGGAGAGTTAGGTAGACTATCAAAGTGTGTGTTAATATATTTATTAAAATATTCAGATGAATTATATTTGGATCTTCTTTGAATTATGATCGAATATAGTTCAAGATGTCAATACTATGCTATTTGATTTTTATTCAAACAATGTTTAAAAACGGTCATATATTAATTAAGCCGGCGATTTAACTTTGTATATAATGTATAATTATGTCTTCAAATATAGCTTAATTGCACATTGGGTATAGTCAACCCTAGTTCGATCATTATTCGATCAATATTTAAACTTATTCGGACGTGATTCAATAAATTTCGATCCATATTCTAAGAACATAGAAGTTATAAACTGATGAAGTGTTTTTTTATGGGGAAGTCATCAATATTTTTATGTTGTATGGAGGAGAATGGAATGACTAAAACAACATTAGCAAATGATTATAGAAATAAAGAAATATTTCATTTAACGATCTCATTAATCTTATATTTAAAGTGATAAATGTTGATAAAATATGAAATTATAGGTGATATATCACTCTTGTGAAGCACCATCAATTCCAACAACTTAGCTACTTACGGATTATGATTTTGATTTTTGTTCGATATGTGTCATTGCTGCTCCTACAAAGATTTTAACTATAATTATTTGTGTTAAAATCATATGCATTAAGACTTCTCTTAATTGATAGTCAATTTACTTTCACTATACAACAACAACAACATCATCAAGACTTTGTCTCACTACGTGGGGTTGGCTACATGAATCATTTTTCTCCATTGTGTTTTGTTAAAAGTCACATTCTCCTTTAAATCTAATATGAAAAGATCATTTCTAATATTTTATAACCAAGTATGTTTATGTCTATCTCTATCTTTCTTAACATAAGTCAAATCTAATACCTCTATTTTCCTTACCAGGTCATCAGAAGGCCGACATTTTATGTGACGAAATCATCTAAGACGACTCTCTCTAATCATATCTTCCACTAGCTACTCCAACCTTTTTATGTATATGCTCATTTCGTATCATATATCTAAGAGTAAAGTCACTCATCCACCTGAGCATTCTCATCTCTGCAACACTTAATTTAGTATTATGCTTTTCTTTTAATGGCCAACATTCGGCCCCATAAGGCATTACAGGTCTCACCACCATCCAATAGAATTTTCCCTTAAGTTTGAAGGGGACTTTTCTATCACACAACAATCCCAATGCATTCCTCCACTTCAACCATCCAACTTGAATTCTGATGATAATATCTCCATCTATTTCACCATCACTCTGAACAATAAATCCAATATATCTAAAATATGTAATGCTAAAATTTCTCTATAATGTCCAAAATTTTAAACTTATAACGCTTAAATTTTAATCAATATGACAATTCACTTCTTGTTTACTTTGAATAGAATAATCTTTTCAACTTTAATTTTGCTCATAATGAGTGAAGCATTTAGAGAATGAGAAAGCAATAAATAATCTGATTTAAGTATAAATCCATTTAGATGCACCACACTTGATGCTTGTATGTCTCTCTTGAAATGTTCATAATCAACATAATTCATATTTATTTATTTTGTATTAGTTAGGTTACACAAGTAATGCAAAAAGTCAAAATCAAGATGGAAGAGTATGTTCCACTTTCGAGATGGCCTAATCGATTTAAAGATTTTCATCGATAAATAATATAATTAGAGGAAAATAATATATATATGCAATGAACATCAAAAGTTAGAGGGTATCTATACAAAATTGAAAAGATAAATCAATCTGAGTTGAGCCATTAGATATCTATGTGATGACAAAGCTGAGATAAAGAAATAGGATGACAAATCAAAAATGAAAAGAGAAATCATCCCTTATGAAGTCGGTTGATATCTATAGCATATGATAGTGAAATATGCAACGATGACAAGAGGACAACCGTTAAATTGGTGAACTTGTATGGAATTCTTATATTTTGTGTATGTTGATCTTCTTTGCTATTTTATATTCTTTTTTATCCTCAATGATTGAACTAGAGACCCACATATATTCATCTTTTAAACTTTTATGCTGGAGAACCATATTTTTTTTTTTTTCTTTATGCACTAAAAAGGCCTATATATAACATCCATCTATACTAGATAAAACCAAATAATTAATACTTGTCCAAATTAAATTAGGAGGGCCCAACCAACATTTTAAATTGTAGTTCTAATAATTCCATACACTTCACAAACATAATACAAGGCAATTAAAAAAAACCAATAACATACTCATTTCCACTTCTCTCACAAAACAAAGAGAATAAAGATTAAAACTACATCACAATTTAGAAAGGAAAAAAAATGGATCACAATATCCTCGCCATTTTTTCATCCGTGTAAATCTTAGGTTTCGTTTGGGACGGCTTTCTTACTGCTTCTTAAAGTAATTTTTTCAGTACAAAAATTAAAACTTTTGTGCTAAAAAACTACTTTAAGAAGCAATAAGAAATCCGTCCCAAACGAAGCATTAAAACCGCTCGAATTGCTTTGAGATGAGCACAATACATATTTTAATCAATAATATATATATTGCACTCATCTTAAAACAAATCCAAAGATTTTTAGATTCATACTAACTTACCAAACTTTGATGGGTACATTCTAATCCATTTTTTGTCCCCTTCAAAACATCACAACATACAATAATAGGTCACATAAAGCAGAAGAAGCACTAAGGAACTTCATGGATAAAAGCCAAGTAGCCTGCTAATGCCTTCGCAGAGCAAGAGCAGATAGGGCAACCATCAGTATTAGTATCACTGTACCAACAAAGGAAGCTATTACTGCTCCACTGGATTGCTGGCAGAAGTCCTGAAACCTTATACAGAAAGCAATCCAGTTGGCCTTTGAATTCCCAGTATGCGCCAAGTAGACAATAGCTGAAGCAGCTGAAGCTCCAGCCATTGTTAAAGCTACAGCTAGCTGCAATTTTAGTACAAGATAAGATAGTTAAGTAGTTTTTTATGATGTTAGAACTCATTACAGGAATTTGTGGTAGAATTCAAGAAGAATGATAAAAAGAGGAGATCTAATAAAATATAGAAGTTAAATATCATGTTTTAAATCATTTGGTTTGCCATCATAGCACAAATATGTAGGAGAAGCTTGTGAGATAATTTTTTTTTCTTTTTTAAGAGAGTTTTCAAAATAATCTCCAACTATTTTTCTATGGTTATTTTAGTCATAAAGTATCATATTTCTCTAAATTAATCTCTTGAATGTATAAAATTGATCTCAAATAGTCCCATCGGCGGGATTTGATCGAGGTTTAGCTACAAAATTGAACCTGATTTAATCCATCCACGGTATAAAATTGTCCCAAATTTAGTCCACAAGAGACCATTTGTGCTCAACTTTACGATGAATTATTCTGTGCGGACACGGGATGGGAGAACCGTCCTGTGTTCTTTGTCTACAGTAAAAACTTTTATTGTAGCAGTTACGCTTTTACTGTAGCAAAGATAAATCTGAACGGTTCTCTTTATCCGATGTCTGCACATAATAAATTTCCAACTTTACATGGTAGATGGACTGAGATTGAAAATTGCAATATTCTAGCACCAAATTGGATTTTTTTACTTCTGTGTGTTTTAAAAGAAGCTCACAACATCAAATGTGAGGAGGAAGAGCCTTGGACAACTGAACAATGGCTTGATGATGCAAATAATGGAGAAAGGAATAGAGAAAACAAGATATCCTGCAGCAATACCATCAGCAACCACGAAAAACCTGCACCAAAACCTCAGTACATGTGCTAAAATCCATTAAGAAATATCAAGCATTGAGGAGAAATGATTACAACACATACGTCAAAGAAGGAAAATCAGCAAAGTTGGCATAGAACTGATAGTCCTTAGTGAAGAACGGAAGCATCTCATTATCAGTTCCCATAGAGACTGCCGCTGCAACAAAAGCTGAGATTGCAAGCAGCCTCAGGAAGAAGTCGAAGACGGCCAAGCCTCTCTTCCATCCTCCAGGCGTCTTCATGTCTCTCCTCAGCTTTGTTAAGAGAAATCTGTATGGTGGAACAGTCTCTTTGGTTCTTGTATCAGTTTTTCCATCAGCAATGTTGATTGAGGTGGAAGGAGCGGTGGCTTCAGTTGAGTTCATGGCTTGAGGATTTTGGTTTGAGAGGGATGGAAGGATTGGAGATGGCTTAGTTTGTTGAGGGATTTGGAGGAAGAGGAAGGAGTTATATGGAGGAGAAGGAAGAGAGAGGGATCAGTGCGTTGGGTGATTAGAAGGGATGGTGGTGCAGCTTAGGAAGCAGATGTGGGGGTTTGGTTGTAAACCAATCCATTCTGTTGAATAATAAAGTGATTAAGGCCTTATTTGTGGAACAATTATTACGTCCTCTGACCGGACGTAGAGCTATGTTCGGCCGCCAATAACATGTCGCCACGTGCTCTTACTCTTTACCGCGCGGCCCGACGACTTGACACGGAGCGGAACCCGGGAATGCTATGTTCGCGATTTTCTCGGTATTGCTCGGTATTTGCTAGGTATTGCTTTGCAAAAATGAGAAATACCGCTCTGTGAAGACCAATGCCATGCAAATACCAAGTTGTACCGAGTTTTTTTACAACTCGGGATTTGCTCGGTATTGCTAGGGATTTGCACAATATTGCTAGGGATTTGCTCGGTATTGTTAGAAAACACTCGGTACAACTCGGTCAATATAAATGTCATAGTGAGAAGTCATAGAGAATTATGATTTTGTAATTAGATTATTTTAAGAAGGATTAGAAAGAGGGCAAATTTTTAAAAGAAGCAGATTTCATAAAAGTTTTAGAGATAGGAGCAGGAAAAAAAATAAATTTAAAAGGGAGCATATAAGTGAACAGAAATCACGTTTTATAAGAAAACGCAAAGCAGGATTTCGTTTTCTGAAGAAAACGCCAGGGTGCTTTGCATTTTCTATGCAAACGCAAATTTTTTACATAAAATAAAATATATTTACTATTCAGAAGAATTACAATTTTTTTTATTAAATATCATAAGAGAGAACAATAATGACCAATGTCGATGTTCTGAGTGATTTAAAAGAAATAATAAAATATTCAAAAATTATTGACTATTTTAAAATAATTTAATTCAATTTTGAAGTTAATAAAAAAATAAATAAAAAACACAAATCAAATACATTTTTCAAAAGCAAAAAAAAAAAAAAAAATCCCAGTCAGAACCTAAGATTTGTTTTAAAACCGCCATAGAATAGTCTAGTATATAATGAGTTAATGACATAGTATAATAAAATATAATAAATAATATAATATACTACAACCACAACAATGTCATTACTTTAACACTTTCATTATCAAAGTCCCAAATTCAAATAAGAAAAATAAAAGATTGAGTTAAATAGTTGAAAAGCAGAGCCCACTGGAAAAATACATAGATGACTACATAAAGAAGAAAAAAATTTTAACAGAAAATGGTATCATATATGCAGACGCCGAACGCTGTCCTAAGACTAATCCGAATGCGCCACATCACCTTTTTACTGTACCGCAGCTCAGTACCACTCAATACCGCGACATCCGGATGTAGAGCTGCGTCCAGCATCCGCACAGAATAATTTCTCTCCATATTGATCATTAGTGTTGGCTATAAGGAAACTTGCTCATTAAATTATACAAACAATGCTCTGTAACTTTATTTTTACAGCTGCAGAAGAGAACTCAATGTGAAGTGCAAAAGCTGAATAACCAAAAAAACAAAAAAATGAAGAGAATTCTGCTGTGGGGATGTGTATCATAGAAACCTGCTACCGTCTTAAACTCCACCCTCGCTCTGCAAGAGCATCACGAACGCGCAAAGCAACCTCAGCAGCATCATTGAGAGGAGGATAGCTCCAAAATTCTGATATCTAAGTCAGTCAAACACGATTGAGATGAAAAATAGTTGAGGAATACAAGAAATTACAAACTAAACACGTGAAATCATAATAGGAAGTTTAGATCATCTTTTATTAGGGGTGTGTCAATTTCGGATCACGGGTCAAGTTTGGGTCGAACTCTGAACTGACTCGACACTATTCGGGTCAACCCGAGACCCATTTTTGCATACAGGTCGGTTTTTCGGACCCGAACCTGACCTGCTTCGGGTTCGACAGCTGCACGTGTCGCGCATTTTGGGTTCAACAGAGGTCGGCAGCATTGCGGGCAGCCGGCATTCGACAGCGCCGACGCGCGGCAGACTCGACCACGACAGCGGGATTGTGGACAGACGCGACTGCTAGAGTAGCGCGACAGGCCGGCTAGGGCCGCCACGTGATGTGACGCTGCGTCACGCGCGGCAGCGGCTCGATGCACGTGTGCAGAGCTGGCAGAACGGGTCATTCCGAGTCAACTCGAACCCAACATGTTTTTTGAAATGGGTCGAAAACCATAACCCAAACCCGAAATTTTCAGGCCGAGTTCGGGTCTAGTCAAATATTGACACCCCTATCTTTTATAGAGAACCAGCAGAACATCAAACGGTCAATACATTGCTACTGAGACAGATAATTAGCAGAGTTATGATCAATCAAATGATAGATTTGATTAGCTGAATTAAGGCAAAATGCGCAAAACTTAGTTAAAGGGAACTTACATCCTCCAGTCCTGTAAATGACCTAGCCAGACCCTTCTCACGCAGCATCTTGTGGAAAGAAGAGAATTTCCAAGTGCAACGTTCTGCTCCAATCACATAAACAGGTTTCCTACAAGATCAATAACAGCAAAAAATGAGCATCGGTTGGCACCTAATGGACGCTGTCAATAGATTTCAGAGAGACCAAAATACCCTGTGCTACAAGCCTCGCTCAACATGCTTATAGAGTCAGCAGTTATGACAAAGGCATCGGCCCATGCCAGATGTCCCATATGTGGGTTGGACCCTGCCAAAGCCATAATTTTGAGAGGGAAATCAAAGGGCTTCATTTGGAATGACTTTCTTACTGCTTCTTAAAGTAGCTTCTTAGTAAAAAAAAAATTAATTTTTGTATTAGAAAACTGCTTTAAGAAGCAGTAAGAAAGCCATTCCAAATGAAACCTAAGTCAAATATGAACAGCTGCAAAAAAGGAGCATTGACATACCTTTTCCATCCCATACATAAACCTTGGGATCATCACCCAGTTCTCTCAATATAATGTCAGAAACCTACATATGAACAACAAGCATATTTAGATCAACTGGATTAGGCATAATAAAATAACTAAGAATTTTCAGTTCAAAGGGTGATGATACCTTTTGAGGAGTTCGCCTAGAGAAAGAAATTCTGACACTTCCACAGAAGGGCAAGAAATTGTGTAGCGAACCTGCTAATTGTATAGCCAGGTCTGCACCATATCGACAATGTCCTATAATACAATTTTCATAACATTTTTTAGTTGGCGAAATTTTCAGCATCTTTTAAATAAAATAGCATCATTCTATCAACATTTTAAAAGAAAAAGTGCCTTATCAGATTAGATCCTTCAATCAAGGCATGATAGTATGTTATGTTACAAGAGTCGAGCTTCATGATAGCTGGCCATGGAAAAAATCATTCTATCGGGATTTGATTTTATGTTAAATATAGTGCAGTTTTGTATTGATAAAACATCAGCCATTTGTATGATTTAGCCATTTAGGGTAATCTTATAGAAAGACTGCACTGCTATAAAGAAAGAGTTGACACCAAAAAGGTTTATTATCAATTCCATTAGTTGTAACGATTTGGGCCTCAAAGGGGTACAAACTTTACATCAGGATCCGATGGTCATCAATGCCAAAGAGGTTATTCAGCTCAATAGTTAATTTACAAATGAAGTACTTTAAATAAAAGTATGCTTCTTTATTCTACCATTATATCTTTATATAATTTAGGTAACTTTCAAGAAGCTCTTAGCCGCATAAGACTTAGGGCAATTAAGGAAACACCCCTTTGCATGAAGGCATGTCCAAAACATCAAGACAGATGATCCCAACTTTAGTAGAGGGTGTCCATCCAAAATTGAACTTCAAGGGGAATGTCAGAATTGATGTCCGAAGAAGTGGTCGTGGCTAAAAGGGATGGCGACAAAATCTTCTTTCAAAGACTCCCACAGACAAATGATGAATGAGGAAAAAACGAATGTTTATTTTCAAACCTCATAATGATCCGTTAGGGTCATATTTCAACATCTTCATACAATCTCTACAATACCAAATTCAACTTCAACTTCCTGATCAAAGTCACATGTCAATCCCTAAAGGGTCAGATCAATCCTACGATAAATTGATCTTCTCAATCCCAATTTAAGTTGTAAGCATCTATGCCATGACTTAGGCCTAGTTTGTTTGGGCATTCTTTGCCTTTTCCATTTAGAAATGGCAGAATATTTTTTTTGGTGTTGTTTGTTTGTGACACTTTTGCAAAAATGTTTTTTAGGGAATTTTATTTTTTTACTATTTTCAAAAGCTTTAGGGTAATTTACTTCTTCGTTTGAAAATTCCTTTTTCTCAAATAATAGTTTTAAAACTACCTTTTAAGAAAGGTGTGCAGGATAACCAAACGAAGCCTTAATAAGGATTCAATTAGTTCCTTAGTGGAACTAATTAATCCTCCCCCATAACAGACTATAGTCAACAAGTAAAATTCCAACCGTATGAACGGATGGTTATGAAATAGTATCAAGTTGGATTTCGTTTTCTAGATATAATCGAAACACCAATTCTAAAAGGATAGGATCAGTATTAGGGGCTGTTTGGCGCCAAGTAGGATTTAACTTTAGTGGGATTTAGTAAATCCTATAAATTTGGATTTAGTACATCCTGAGGGTGTTAGATTCTGAAAAACTATTTGGTATGTCATATGCTAAATCCTGAGAATCTGTTTGACAACATAATCCTGGTTCAAGGAGAATGATTCATTTACAAATTAAATTTAATGTGCTTAGAATTTAATTTATTTGTTAACTATGAGCTAGCTTAATTATTATTAATTATCAAATTAGAAGCTAGTTTAATTATTTTTAATTAGCAAATTAGAAGCTAGTTTAATTATTAATTATTTATTATACTACTAATTACTAAATCAAACCAATTGATTCAATTTAATTTAATCATTTGATTTATCCTAAATTGAGCCAAATTAAACTCTACTTAGTTTAATTAGTCCACCCGATGCAACCCTGGCTCAAATTGAGTCCAAAGAGGGTCCATTTAACACATCCAATTCAACCCACATCCAATAGAGCTTTTAATGCAATGCCTTGGCCTTCTAAGGCCTTTCCAAATCACGATTATCAAACCCAAAGGCAGAGAATGCAGAGGACAAGTAGTTGCCAAAGCCGTTAACCTACCCCTTGCTTTTTTCCTCGAGTGCCTGCTCGTACCATAACATTCGATGCCTTCAAGTGTAGGGAAATTGCATCCAAGCTATCACCTTGCAATTTCTTAGGGGCACGATCAAATTTTTCGATCTTGTCCTAGCTTGTATACCTGGATCGACGATGACGACGGTAGCTCGCTCGCTGTGTAAGTAGTCATCTTCGCCTCCTCCTTCAAGAGGGGAACTAGCTCGCTCACAAGGTCGTAAATCCCGTAGTCCATAAATCAGTAAATATGCTAAATGACATGATTTAGTAAACACAAAACTGTTTGGCATTTACTACGTGCTTGAAAACTATTTGGCATGATTTACCATAAATCCTGCTACAAATCCGATACCAAACAACCCCTTAGAAGGATTTTGTCCTCACTTCTATACCCTTATGCAACAACTTGACAAAGGACAAATTAGTCCTCGACAAACTCAGCTTTTCCTTTAGCTGTGCATGAAGAAAATGATTGCTATAAACAACATACCACAAAGAAATCTAATGATTTCAAATCATTTCCATATATATATATATATATATATATATATGAATAACTTGTATTTATTTTAATATTCGAAGATATGTTTTCAATTTATTGGTAATTATATTATGCAAAATTTCATGATATATCTCCTTTACAAATCATTGTTTTATGACATTCAATTTTCTAGACATTCTCCCATCAATTCTTCCTAATTCTCATGTAGTTTATCCATTGATATAAAGAGGGAATGCAATTTGCCACAAAAAAAGGCTCTTATGCATAATAATCGGCATAAAAGTGGTTAATGGCTCTTGGATCAACTTTGATATTCATTCAACTATAAGATGGCCATCAGTAATAATCTTTACCAAGGCTTACCATAGTACCATGCGCATCTTTGCCCTTATATTTTTGCTGGAACGACAATGAATTTCCCAGTAAAACCTTTTTCTTCTAATAATAGATCAGATTAGTTATCTCAATGGAGGTTTCACTTCTTAAGCTAATTCAGTAGCACTACTAGGGTATGACGTAGAAAAAAATTAATGATCATGGAAAACTAAGAAAAAGTAGTAACATCATAATTTTCTAATGGATTGTACAGTAGCCTCATGATGAGTACAGCATTAAGCACGGCAACAATATCAACTGGTTAATAATACTTATCTTAGTTATGCGGAGAGGTACTTACTATTAAATTATTATTATTACTTCTTGTGTGACACATTGAAGAATATAATTGTGAAGTACCTGATGAATTTATGTACTTAATGAATCTGTTCACACTCTATTTCCCAGAACCTAATATGAAGTACAATACTATCAATGCTAATGTCACAAGCTTCAGAAAGAAAAAAGGAAAGAATATGATTTAGACGTAGGAAAGGAAATTCAAAACTTAAACATGGCAGATAGTAACAATAGAATTCACAATAAGTCATAGAAGTTTAGGAGAATCTAAATACTTGTTATAGTGATAGCTTTCAGTTTTTGGATTAACATTGATATCTTTCTAGTAAATCTCCATACAATAAACGCAAATATGATCTAAGCTTCGGATTCGGCAAAACAAATTGCCAACATTCATATGGAGCAGTTGGGTAAAATTAAGTGCATGGAATATAACTGTTTAGCACCAGTCAATAGCTCCCTACTAAAATGAGAAACAGCTAACCAAACAAAAATTACTTGTTGGTCCTCCAATGTTAACCACAATCAAGGGTTTTGGTAAAGGTGCTAGCTCGTCATGCCATTCAGAAGCAGCAATTCTCAGCGCAGCAGAATCAGCCATGTGCAATGCACCCAATGTAAGAACCTTTAAGCAAAATAACAAACCATAAGAGATTGAGCACGAAAGATATTACTTAAATGATTAAAAATGCAAAGAAGTATTACAGTGCTCAGGTGGAGGAAGACAAACGAAGAAAGAAACATACCACATTCCGGCCAGGAGGTTCACGAGGAGTTATCCACCTCCGCAATAACCGAGGAATCTCTTGCTTTCCTTGAGGGGTCAGAGCATGATAATCATGTTGAGGGGTTACAACTAAGTCGAACCTATCCAAACGAGATCTAGGATGTTGTATCTAGGAAAAAGAACCAAATGATGAAAGAGTCAATGGCATGAAAGGAAAAAAAAAACAAACAATTGTCACATAAAAGAGAATAATGCATGAATAAATCACCAGATAATGCAAACATCACAAACATAATAACATGAAAAGATTGAAATGGAATGAGTGCTTACAAATTTAAATTAAATGGAACGACTGTATCAAAAATTCAGATTAAAATGGAATGACTGTGTTATAAATCAGAATTAAATGGAAATATTGTGTTAAAATTCATATACCTGAATTACGAAAACATTTTGGGGAGCCAATCGTTTTATTGAAGCAGCTATAGATGCAGTATCCCATCCAGAAGCAACAACTAAAAGGAGCCCTTCCCTGAAATAAAGTTCAGTTGTCTCTATCAGGGGCATAGATTCATAATGAATTTTGAGAATATTTTCAGAACTTGTAAAAGGTAACACAATTATGCTAATTGCAGAGGAAATTAATTTTATCCATATTATAAATAGAACAACTGAGCATTGTAACTCAAAGCCATGGCATAACCCCCAAAAAAGATTAAAAGTTATAACAGCATACCTAAGGAAACTTAATCACATTAACAGGTTTATGGAAGTGATTGCCTTTGAACAAATCTAGTCACAAGGTCACCAAAAAGAGTAAGTGAATTAGCCGACTTCAAATAGTACATCATCATCAATAATCTTATCCAAACAACTAGAGGTTGGCTTCATAAATCTTCATTTTTCATTCATTTTAATCCTATTCTAGCAGTCCATTTGAACAACTTCAATAAAAGTTACTTTAAGTCCACCAGTTTTCTTTCCAAAACATTTGAAACCAATTTTATTTAGTCGACCAATACAAAATTCTAGATAGATCCTCTGCAACAATAGATCAAACTACCTACAACCGTACAATTATGAAACTTATGATGCTCTCTCCTCTCCGTCGAAAGGAGCATACGAGAGAGCCCTCAAGCCTACTAGGCTCAAGCAACAACTAAACATCCCTCCCCAAACATCAAGCAAGGGGTCTAGAGGTAACCACCAAGCCTTATAATTTCTTTATATGCCAAGTGCATTTATGCACCTTTCAAACCAAAGAAAAATCTATTCCACAAGCTAAAAGCTTGATAGGATCTGATCCTTCATTCACAATCTATAATTAAAAATTGACACGATCCTTAAAATTATTCATAGATCCTACCTCACCCCGCTCACCCAATCAGATCCTCAACCCCAAACCCACACCCACACAAAACCACATCATGTGATGACTAAAAACTTTCACTACACTAGGAGAGTGATCTATCTTCAATAATCATTCCTCAATCATGAAGCAATGCATTATCCTGGTATCTTAAACAAGCAATACCATCACTAAAACAATCATCTTAGCTGACATTACAAAATCAATAATAACTTCACATGCTTATCAAGAATCACATGTTCCTAAAATAGAGAAAAATAAGCCGACAATCTTTTTATCAACAAAAGAATGAGAAGAAATAAGAAAAAAGTCATAATATCATCCAAAACAAGTTTTTAAAATTCAATTTTATTTTCAATTTTGGTCAAATCATTAAATTTTTAGATTAGATAGTTTCTAAATAAAAATATTGCATATTATATATTTATTACAAAAAAAAAAAGATAACTAATTAGTTCAAGTTACAAGAAATAAAATTTGCTAGAGCCATAGTAATAGAATTGTAGTAAAATTTTATTAGCTAATCATGAACTCTAATGATGTTTCATTCAAAATCTATGAATTTTGGCATTAAAAAGAGATGGCATCCAGAAATCAAGCCTACATATTTCCTTTTACATTATACCTTATCATACTTTTAGGACACTCAAGTGCCAATGGATCAAAGCCAAATTCATGGGACCACAACTTTCTACTTCCTCAACTTTTTGGCAAACTCCTTAACCTTGGAGAAAACCGAGAGGAAAATATTCAAAGTTGCACCCATGGGATTGCAACCTCAACACTCTTTGCCACATGTAAAGGAAAGGTCTTTAGAATGCTCAACACCCTACAGGACAAGTCCTGTACCTACAAAGGAGGAAAAAAAGAGAAAAAGAATGGACAATGGGTAATGAACCTTAAGAACAAGGGAGGCGAAGGGTAAAACAATAGCACAATTTGATCACAGCCAATCATAGATTTTAGAAAACCTATTTAGACAATGGATGCAAAAATAAAGGTTTGGTTCTAATTCAATATCAAAAACAAGCTTCATAGGAGGAAGAATAAGTCAAAGTGACATTCTCCAAGTATCAAATGCAAAAGCTTCACATCTATTGGTTCAAATCATGATATCGCTTCAAAACTCCAAGAGAAAATCCACGTTAATATTGTAAAGATTAGTGGTTGTAAGAAGACGAAGACTAAAACCCTAAACCAAAATGAATCAAAGCTTTTGAAGTGATCAGCCATAATATATATATATATATCCAAACAAGCTTCTAAAATCTTCATAAGGGCCTTTCATCAAATCCGTAGAATGAAGCACCAATCTTAAAGCATCAACCAAAATGTGGCATGTCAACTCAAATCACACCCCAACACTGATCTCAAATCCATCCTACATCCATCCACCGTCCATTACAAGTAAAATAAAAAAATCTCCTTCACCCTCACTCTTACAAATGCCCCATCCGAGGAACATAGGGGAACTTCTAACCCTCATTATCCCCCTCAAATGAAGGATGGACTCTACTTTGAGTCACCACTCATCATCCAGAAAGGAAAACTATTTTAAATTAGCAACAATTTTTATTCAATTTTAAGCTCAATCACTCAAGAAGCATCACAAAGACTTATCGAGAGAAAATTCTTAAGTTAGACTATTAAACAGTTTCTTTTTTTTAAATGTGTGCAGAGCATGATATCGAGCTCAAGATGACTCACTAACCCAAATTCTATTGGAATTAAAAGGTCGTTCTGGCATGCAACACTAGTGCTATTATATTAAATCAATTTGGGCATGGCAAATACCAAACAACCTCTACTATATCTAGATAACGAGGTTGCCCACAGAATAATTTTTTAAAAAGTACTCCTTATAAGGTAAATTAAGTCACTTTTCTACACATAATTGAAAAGACGTTTTCAAAAGGGCACTGCTCAACCATGAACAAAAAGTAAAAACAAATAGCAAATGCTCTCATAAGATGAAAAAAAAAGAATAGGCAATTACATACTTCTCAAAATTCTCACGGGCAATGGAGGCAATATGCTTTGCATCAGCTTCTAGAATTGATGACAAACCAATAATTCCGCCATTTCGAGCGGGAAATGGAGAAATTTTTTCCCCTTTTGACATCATAGCAAATCTAGAGTTTCCAAGCAACTGTTTGATGATGCCATCAATGATTTTGTGAAAGGATAAAGGAAGCCATCTTAACCAGTTGTTATACCCTCCTCTTGGTCTGATGGCATGCTGTGAAGCTCTCTCGAATTAAAATATTAAATTAACAATAACTTAAGAAACCAAATATATGAATAGTTTAATAGTAAAGAAAGAACATTAAAAATAAGACAATTTTACAATATCAGAAGTAGTTATGGCGTTTAACAACATTCTGCACAAGAAATGTTTTGTGACATAAGTCTGAGTTAACTGAAGAACATGTAACCATGTGACTTTCAATTGTAGTTGCCAAAAGGTTAAATCATAAATAGGACAACTATGAGACGACTTGAGTGCTTTTGGACGCAGATGGAGTAGGAAAAACCACCTTAAACATCAAACATGCACAACAGTTGAGAAGACGGGTGAAGCAAATAACTATGTAGGTGATAAATCAAAAGTTCTTTTTATAGTAGGACGGATTGTAGCTTCCGATTTAGGCAGGCCGTGTATTCTGCAGGAAAAAAAGGTATGAAAAATATGCAGGAAAGTCATAGGAAATGTTGTGGTGGCACTTGTTGATTAAAGTTCAGTATGGTTCTCTTGTCTATGATACTCATAGCGCTCATGATTGACAATTTTCACCACCTTCAATGCCTGCTAACTCTTCTAAATCCAATAACATATATCAGCAAAGAGGCCTTCATCATCTCCTTATGATGCCAATCCTAAATGCTTAAATCTAAAACATGTTCAACAAAGAAGGAAATTTCTTGATTCATATTACATAATTCCCTAAGAAAGCCATGCAGCGTCATAGATAAGAGATACTCCAAGGAAATAAGAAATTACATATATTGTGAGGCTATCAAAGTGCCCGAGCGCACGAATCAGACCAATGCTTTGGCTCTCAGCCCCGGCGAAACCGTTCCCAATCACGACTGCTCTTCTTATAACGTTAACCCCGCCTTCAAAGATTTCCGGCATCCCCACCGCTCCGGTGGGCGATTCCGGGAGCCTTATGGGCCTCATCACAGATATTAACGCCCAAAATTGCAAGATTGAGGTCTGAATTTTCGGGTTTCGCTTTCCTCAAATTAGGGTTCCTATCTCTGGCGCAAGAGAAATCGCAAGGGAGATGATTGAGGGGCTGTTTAGTAGCAGGATTTGAGCAGGATTTAACCAAAATAAATGACAAATTTACACCCTACAGAATCTTAAATTCGCTATTCGCTCACGAATTCCTCTTCCCCTTCGCACAAATCTGCGAACGCCGCCGATCCGGTCTACAAGGCTTCTCAAGCGACCTCCCGTCGCGACCATCCAGGGAATTTGACGGACAGGACTAGAAAAATCCAGACCTCAGTTTATTTTGTTATTTTTAGATTTTAATTATGATTATAAATAAAATATATTAATTTAATTTAATTAATTTTAATAATTATATTTAATTTGTTATATAAGTTATTAAATCTCAAAATAAAAAAAAAGTTTAACATATAATTTAACACATTTTTGGAATTTAACTTGCATAGAATTTAATAAATGAATTTATATGATTTATCAAATCTTAAAACAAGCAATTGCTAAAATTTTATTTTTTAATACATTTTTTCAACAGCTTCAAAAATATTATTTAAAAAATGATATCCAAAAGATAAAAAAATTGAAATTATAATAAAAAATTATCTTTCTAATATATTTTATTTTTTATTAATTAATTTTCAAACTATTCCAAAAGTGCTTCGAGCAAAACCAGAACGCTTAAATTGCCGCAAACAAAACCATATTATACAAATAAATTAACCCAAAAGTAAAACACCTGCTTCGACTTCAGAGTGGACGATTAGAGGAAGAAGACAATGGAGAAGGGAGACATGGTACGATGCCAGAGGATCGGCTGCGAAGCTATCTTCTCCGACGACCACAATCAGGATGGCTCTTGCAGATATCACGATTCCGTAAGAGTTTATTGTTCTCGAATCTGCTCCCACTTCTCTATTATTTTTCTCGTCCTTGGATTTCATTTTGAACTTAATAATATGGCAGCGATATGTTATGTCAGCTTCTGAGACTCCCTTTAGGGATTAAGAGTCTCTGAGTTGAACTATGAAATATGGTAATCTTTGCTTGTAGGTCAGAGATTAACTGGTGCAAAGAGAGCATTTATGATATATAACTAGGGTTATGATATATACCTAGGATTTATGATATATATCTAGGGTTATGATTTAAGACTAGGGTTTATGCTTGGTTAGTTTCTATTTGAGTGATCTAGTGCCGCAATTGTCGTTTTTTCCTCTTCCCCTGCTAATCATTTGTTAGTTGGAGGTTAACGGATGAATTATCAGGATTTTTCGTATTTGATCATGGGGGGTATTTCTTTTTATGAAACTATGAAAAGGTATTTATTCATTGGCATTACATACGCTAATGGTTGATAACGATGGTTCCTTGATAAAGAACAAAGAGATTTAGTTTATATGCTGCTTTGTTTATTCTTTGCGCTCATTTGGTTGCTTGATATGAACTCCACAAACCTCTTAAAATCTCCCATAAAAGCCATCATCATCATCATCATTAGCCTTCAACTATTGGGGTTGGTATTATTATAAATCATCATTTTCCATTCATTAATGTTCAGTGCACTGTGAGATGCTAAACTTGTTCTTCACAAGTCAGTTTAAATTTTATCAATGTAACATTAAGTTGACCACTCATCCTTTCTAATCCCTGGGCAATATTTTATCAACTTGTCTAATAGTTACATTTTTTTATATTTAATTGTTCACGTCTGAACTGTCTCAGTTTATTTTTCATCATATTATCTTCAATGCATGTCACTCTAAATTTTCCTTTAATATAATCAATATGTAATTTATCATTCATAGTTTTGTCATAGATCTATCTTAACATTCTTATTTTTGCCTCACTCAACTTAGATATCAATGAAGTATTTACAACCAACAATCTAATCCATGCAATATCATTGGCCTAGTCATTGTTTTATAAAATTACCATTAATCTTCTATGCTATCCTCTTATCACTCAAAACCGCTGAAGTATTTCTTCATTTTAACAATCCAACCTTAACTCTAGAATTTATAACCTCATTTATACATTTATTTTTCTATATAATTCATTCAAGTTACTTTGATCTTGAATATCTAGACATCCTCCTATCGTCTAGTAATGTTGAATATTCATTGCTAATGTCAAATGCTAATATTATGGATTATATACTCCGTATTTATTTTATTAATTTTATATCCTTTATCTGCAAAATATTTTCTCTATCATTTTAAATTTTCACTATTTCAATGATTGTTTTACTAATTAGAATTCTATCATATTTATGAAACATAAGCCAACATAACTCTCTTTGATTTCATGTTGATATTTTAAATAAATATATGATAAATGAAAACTCTTAGGTCACTCCACAACTACTTCTAAAACAACCTAGCGCTCCTTCATACAATGTTAAATAATGTGCATACTTCTTTTTATTTGAATCAAAATAATTTAATTTGCATGGTGCTCAATCATACCCCTTTTCAAGATCAATTAAAATCATATAATTATTATTTTTGTTATCTATACTCTATTAATTGTTTTAACAGAAAAATTGCCTTCATAGTAGATATTTCTACCACATAATTAGTTCATTCATGGAAATTGATGCAATTTTTCTATGCCCATATTCTACTACCCTCTTCATAACTTCATTGTAAAACTTATAAGTTTGAATCCTTTATAGATAGTATAATTTTAAAAATCTTATTTCTTCTAAAATATTGCTATAAAAATACATCTCCAATCATTTATTATTCTTTTAGTCTTTAAAGTTGTATTGAAATAATTTTTTAACCAAGTCAATGGATATACCCCCATAACTCTCCAAATCTCAATATATATCTCATTTAAGCTTGTGCCCTTATTTTTATGTGTATTTTTGCAGAGTTAAAGCACTTTATTTTTTTTTTTTTGGACAATTTATAATTGACTTCATTATATATATATATATATTTTTTGTTATGCTCTTACAATATAATTTATTCCTTAAAGTTTTCATTTATTAATTTATCAGAGTAACTTTTTTGCCTTTCATTATTGTGTTCATCTTTAACCAATATTCTATTATCTTTACTTTTAATTCTGCTAATTTGATCAAAATTTCTAGATATCTTTTCTCTTACCTCATCTATTTTCTATGTACCCTTTTCTTCTTCCTTAGTGCCAAAACTATTATATAAATTATGCAAAGCTATAGCTTTTGCTTTATTCACTGCCCTCTTTGCATGGCTTCTAAATTTTTTTGTAATCATTAAATGTCTCAGTAGTGTTCAATTTTTATCACCTTTTAAAAGCTTACTTTATCTTAATAATCTTTTGTACCTCCTTCGTCAAGTCTTCTTACCAATATATGATATATTTATTGAATATCTTAAATTTTCTTCAACAACTCTCTTAATGAAAATAGTGATTTATCCTACATTAGGTTTGAATCAACTAAATAATTCCAGTTTGCCCCTATTAGCAATCTATTTTGAATGAGTAGCAAAGATTTTTTTTTAATAAGTTATTGGGTGGCTAAGAGGTTAGAGATGGGAAGTTATTTAGCAAGTGTTAAAAAGAGATTTGGGAATGAAAGGAATGAGCAGCATGTGAACCTGTGAGGTTTGAGAAAGGAAGTTATTTAGCAAGTGTTAAAAAGAGGTTTGAGATGGGAAGTTATTTAGCAAGTGTTAAAAAGAGATTTGGGAATGAAAGGAATAAGTAGTATGTGAACCAGTAAGGTTTAAGATGGGGCCTACTTTGATGTTTGAGATAAGAAGTTATTTAGCAAGTGTTAGGGGAATAAAAGAGATTTGGGAATGAAAGGATCAAGCAACGCATGAACCAGGCAAGTAAAGATTTAAATAAAATGGAAAACAACTCAACAAAATCTCAACAAATATAGGTTCTCAATTCAATAGCATTGTAAATTCATCTAAATAAAATAAATTACATAACAACCACAAGACTAAATAACCTTTAAATCCTATATAAACCAAAACAAATATAATCAATCAATTTAAAAATATTATAAGCCAAAAATATTATTTAACCTAGTCAAACACAACTAATTAGTTTTTCCTTTGTTTATTTTATAAGGTTAAACGGTCTTGGGAAACCTAATGTGTTGTGCTACAATTCTTACGCTCATAAGTTTCTGAAATTGATGTATGCTATTCACAAAGATATTTGTCTCGAAGAACTGCATCAAGGAAATGCAACTTAACAATAATATCTCTTGTTCTTGTTGTTAATTTTTCTTTGTATCCCTTTCATTGTTCCAACTTCACCATGTTTTGATAATAGACTTGTGTGAATCTACCTTTTGAAAAGTTTGATTATTCACTTATCCCTCCACTTTATCCCAAGGTCCACATGCAAATCTATTGGTCTAGGTAACCATGTGCTGTTGTAATTAATTTGAATTTATTCTCAATGCTTTAGTTGGGGAATAAGAAAAAGCTCTTACCCCTGTCCATGAGCGTGTGTGATGTAGGACGTCTTAATTTCTAGGGTTTGTTTATCTAAATTTAGGATGGGAGGCAGAAAGAAACACCCAAAAATCATAATTCCTGGATTGTCAACTTTCAATTTTAGCAAAGATTAGTCACTTTTGAAGAAAAGTTAGCTGACGCATTTCATTCTAAACAATAAATTAACAATCTTAAAATCACAAAAAAAAAGAGAATGAAAATAAAATTTCGCAATAGTTAGGGTTCACACCACAAAAGGGAACCCAACTGTCAAACTAAACGGATTTTCAATCATACACACCAATTGCTAAAAGCAAATTAGTAGAAAGAATGATGATAGAAATTACCAAATTGGAGATCCAGGCCTCAACTATAGTCTTCAGAAGGGAGGCTTGAATCATGAATGACTAGTATAGACAATTCTACATCAATTTGCCCAACTTGGAGAAATTTGGGTATGGTGAATTAAGTATTATTTTTTTATGCAAGTCTACTAAAGGTTGTTGGATTTATTGCAATGTAATCAATGAATAATCACAAATAAATCAGTCATCCCAAGGCACAAAATACCAGTAATATTCTAAATAAGTATTGTGCACAATCTAAGCAAAGAAAATAACTTTGAAACAAGAGGAGTAAATCTATCTGGTAAGACTTCGGATGTGAATTTGTTAGGATGAGGGAAAAAGTGATAAATTTACGGCATTGGTACCACGTTCATGAAATAAAATCAAATTAGATACATTGAAATTTGAGATAATGTCAGAGCTTTCTGAAATTCCCATTAATAAGTATTTATCTCAATTTGTTGTATGATTTAATATGGTTATCTTTCCTGCAATTAAATATTTAAATGTTTTGACAAAAACTATTTTTGAATTTAGACACATCATTATTTTTTTCACTTAGTTTGAATTCAGCCTATATCACCTTTCACATAAACAATAGATTTATACTTGCCATGAACAGCAATTAATTTTCTGTGAATTTCTTCTTGCTGATTAGATAAATTATGTAAATCATGATATGTTGAAAATAATGAAAGTGCTAAAATGATCGTATGTGTATGAATGGATACTAATAAGTATTTATAACCTAATCCCTAAGATGATAAAGAAAATTGATAACAATCAATTCACACAATATGATATGCCTATAGGGACGAATAACCAATTAAAAAATATCAATTTTAATGACGTACATATTAGTGTTGATGATTTATTCACCTTTAGATTTGTCCAGATAAATGAAATTTTAAAGTTCAAGTTTTTTATTAAGGCACTCCCTATTAACAAGTTTGTTGAAATAGTCACATAATTTCACTTTCTCCATAGGTCTATTTATAAACTTGTTTGTCAAGAAACTACAACATCAACAACAAGACTTTATCCCACTATGTGGGGTCGGCTACATAAATTCTTTTTTTCTCC